TTCCAAGAACAAATTGATTATTTAGTTTACCTTTTCACTTTGATCTGATCGTATTGCGTAAACCGTGCCTGAGAATTTTCTTTCTTGCTCTGACGTTATAAACATTCATCGTAACCTCAGAATTAATTTTCATCTATCCAAGTCTAAAACAGTTTTATAGTGTGACACCTAAACCACTATATTACATAAATGCATAACAATGCGATATAATTTTTGATCTGGCCTTCTAAATATATGGAGCCAGATGACTTTGAAGAGAAAGCGATAAATGGATACCTAGCTGGCGAATGCCAGAAAGCCACTAATCTTGGATTAACACACGCAAACTCAGCGAATTACCCGCTGGTCATCCTCCAAATTGCGCCGCCATGCTCGCTTGTCTTCGACTTTTATCAGATTCGAAGACGACAAACATCACGAAAACAAAGCTAGCTCGGTCATAATGGCGCTCGAGAAAACTATGATTAAAGGGTGCATTTGTGTCGAATCAGGAATTCATTTGAATATCGTAATCCATCTGAGGCATTTGATTTTCTATCGTTCAACAAGGAGCTGTTTGTTCCAATCAGCGAAAGGAGAAAAGCGCAAATTTTCAAAATACTTTGATTCCTGGAAATTGGGTAATCTTTGCCGTCACCGCCATCAAAAACGTGACAGTGACCTATTAAGGGATGATAACTGAACCATATATATTTATTGAAGGATTGAGCCCGCATTGGAAAATGGTTGATTCTTCCTTGAATTTTTCGTTTTTAGAATTGATTTACTGAAATTTGATTGAGACTAAGCTTAAAATAAAGTGGAAAATATGTTAATTTTGCTCATAATTTTCAAGGCATTGTTTTCTGATAAGTGCGAAATCTATTTTATATTACACTTGGAGGAGTACAAATAAGCAAAAATAAATAAAAGTAAGTAAAATAAATAAATATAGCTGCAAAATGTTGAGATGAGTTTTTGAGATCCCCTTATGCAGCTCAATCTAAAACCAGGCGCATTCCGCGAGCTACCTCATCAAACAACATACTCGAAGCTAGTGCATGCATTCC